GCTAAATCAGGAGAAATCTGGCCCAGAAAAAACCACACACAAAAATATACCAAAAAAAACCAAACAAACAAAAAGCACACCTCCAACAACACACCCAAATAAAACAAAAGCCAAACAAGAACATCCAAAAAACACACACACACAAACTTTTTGCCTATTTAGCTCCAGGCTGGGGATCCTGGCTTGGAGGAAGCAGTGCAAGGAGCAAGTGGGAATGAGCAGCAGAGCAGGGGATGCTTCCCTTCATAAAGTCACAGAATGGGCTGGGCTGGAAGGGACTCACAGGATCATCAGTCCAACTCCTGGCCCTGCACAGAGTCACCCCCTGTGCCCCAGAGGATCATCCAAACCCTCCTGGAGCTCTGGCAGCCTTGGGGCTGTGCCCACTGCCCTGGGGAGCCTGGGCAGTGCCCAACCAGCCTCTGGGGGAAGAACCTTTGGCTGAGATCCAACCTGAGCCTGCCCTGACACAGCTCCAGCCATTCCCTGGCTGCTGTCCCTGGTCCCCCCAGAGCAGAGCTCAGTCCCTGCCCCTCCTCTGCCCCTGCCCAGGAATTGGAACTGCACTGAGGTCTCCCCTCAGTCTCCTCTGCTCCAGCTGAACAGAGGTGACACAGAATTGGCTCATGTTGACACCACAGCTTTACACACCCTGAGCTTTCCAGCTGCCCCTTTCCCAGCTGAAACAGCAGCATTATTATCACACTGAAGGGACTCATATGGAACACTATCATTCTAATATCAGGAATGACATCCCTGATGGTTCTGGATCCTTCCAGTGCTGTCCATCACTGCAGGCACCTCTTGGCCCCTCTGGTACCGAGGTCTCCACACCAGCTGATGAAAAGCAGCTCCTTCATTCTGGTCTAGTTCACAAGTTTGCAAGTGAAAAGAAAGAGCCCTAAAAGCTGTGTCAGAGGTGCAGAGGTCACACTGCAGGGCTGGTTTGGGACACACCTCCCCGCACTGGAATGCAAGAGTCTGTTCACCTCTTCTCCTCAAAGGTGAAGCTTCACTTTAAGGTGACAGAAAGGATTTAGTCCACCATCATTCACATCAATACATGCTGATCAACTGCAAGGCATTATTGCTACTGCAATTTTTTATAAGTAATCCTTTAAATCTTTGGAGGAATGATTTCCCAGCCACAAACACACGTGGGCAGTGGATGCCTGTCCAACTGTTACTTCTTATAATACTTGCTTAATTCCTCTAATTAAAAAAAAAATATCATAAAGCTCTATAGCCTTAGACATTAAGGTCTTTTTGAAAGAGAAACTGCAAAATAAAATTCATGCTTGTAGTGTTTATAATACATTAGTTTCAGTACAGGAATACCTCTACAACAGCACTCTGAAAGCACAATTAAATTGCTGATACTGTTAAAGAGAAGGGGGAAATAAACAAACAAAAAAGCCAAAACCCCCAAACAAACAACAAAAAAATCCAACAAAAATAAAGAGACAAACAAACAAACAAAACCAACCCAATCACAAAACACTTGGAAACTAAGGAAAAAGACAAAGGTGAAGTGCTTGTATGACCTTAATTCACCTCCATTTTATCCTTAAGAGAGAATACCAGGAATCTTATCTGCAGCCTTCACTGTTGGTAACAGCAATAGCTGTTTGCAGTGGCAGCTCTCCAAGGAGAGGTACTATGCATAGAAAAGCACATGGGAAACCAAGTATCAAGATCAAAAACTGCTAATACAAAAAGTTATTATAAAAAAAACCCAAACAACTATCTGAATTATTTGTAATTCTCTTCTTGGCCACAACAATCTGTAGGTGCAGCTGTGAAGGTGCCAAAAAGCTATTTAAATTGAAAGTCTGGCATGTGTCCTTTATTACCCTATTAAATTTTTTAAGTGTGATCTTAAGGGCCAAAAATGATGGGAGGAACATTACCTGCTTTTGGAGAAAAAGAGATCATTATTTTTACCCATCGTATGTGTGAAGAATAAGTGCCCTGACACTAATATATCAATATTTGGAACTAAACACTAAAATGCCAGGCCTTGAATACCATCATTTGTACCCATTTGTCTTGACACTTAAAAGTCACCTTAACAAGAGCTCAGTTTGCTGTTTACCCCACCAAGCAGTTCTGCAAAGCTGAGCTGAGGCTCAGGAAAGGCAGTAAATTAAATCCAAGGGAGAGAAATGCAGGTGCTCGGGTAACACCAGGAAGAAACAGTTCCCACTGTGCCCAGTTCTCCTTCAGCTCAGTGGCAGATTTCCCACGTGCTGGGCCTGGGCCCAGAATCAGGAGGCAGAGAAGCTTCTCTTCTTTTGTGTCTTGGCAAAAGGATTGAAAATTTTCCACCTTGAAATTCCTGTGGGCTTTTCTGAATGGAAACTCTTCTGCTGTGGTAACAGTAAGTGCTCTTCATTAGCCTGATTAAGTCAGTCAAAATCTGTGGAAAGATTTTAAATAAATTCGCTGGGCTTTGGGTCAGCAAAATGTAAATGAAATAAAGATGCAACTCATAGCAAGTAATCTTGCAAAGAGTGACTTTACTCTCACTGAGGTCAAGGAGAGTTGAGGACATCAAGTCCTTGATCTCTGACTTGGGTCCAACAACTTTTAATAGACTATCAGGTATGTTTGAAAGCTTCAGTGTATTTAGTAGAGGCTGGGGTGAAATCTTTTTCATATGCTATAAAATAAAATAATTCTAATTCCTGTATGCTGGGACTTTTTCTGAAGTAGCTGGGAGCCCTACTCAGGATCTTCAGAACAGACTTATGTTTTCAAATATCATTTTCTGATGGGGAAATGGAAATTTTCTAGTCTGAATTTAAAGCCATTGTCCTCATTAATATAAAAATTAGAAAAAAGGGATATAAACATAAAAACACTTATGGATATTTGAGTTTCATAACCCAGTACTATGACTTCGCTTTCTTACCTTTCCCTTGCCAAAAAACCATTTCCATCTCCTGGACTAGGGACAATAGCAGCAAAACCTATTATTTGTATGAAAATCATGAGGGGCACTCTGAGGGAAAGTTAAGATTGAACCAAGGCAGGGCCTCCAAGTTGGTCTGCAGGAGGCACAGCACCCACAGCACAGCAGGGTTTATCAGCTTGGTTTAGCCTGGCAGGACACAAGTAAGGGGCAGAATGTGTGCCTGCAGTCTGCTGAGAAGACATATGCTAAATATCCCAGGCTTCAGGAAATATCCTACATCATAATAGCTCTGCAGTTCTCAATTTGTCTGCCTCCAGACAAATGTTTTTCAGGTGGTTTTTTTAAGGAAGCATTCCCTTGTTCAGAATTCAATTTAAAATGCTCCTGAAATGCTTAAACAAGGCAGCCAACAAAACAGGTCTAACATTTAAGGTCATGGTGTTATGGCTCTGTCTCACTCTTGCCTGTAGCCAGCGAGCTGGGAAAACAGGAGCTTCCTTCAGCCCACTGGAGCTGAAGGATGGCAGGAGTGGAGGCAGGGTCGGTGTGTGGGCAAAGAGGTGCTGCCAGGACAGACCCTGGAGCAGCAGGGACAGCCCAGAGGGAGCAGAACCCAGGACAGAACCTGGAGCAGAACCCAGGACAGACCATGGAGCAGAACCCAGGACAGACTCTGGAGCAGAACCCAGGACAGACCCTGGAGCAGAACCCAGGACAGACCCTGGAGCAGCAGGGACAGCCCAGGGGGAGCAGTTGTGCTCAGCCCCTCTGGGCTGCAGGGCACTCCCTGCACAGCCCTGGGCTCGAGGCAGGGCAGTGCCCAGCACCAGGGCACGGAGCCTGCTCGTGTGCATTCCCTGTTCCCACCCACTTCCTGCAACACACAACACAGGAAAACACAAAGACACCCTGCTCTATCCAGGCTTGCTATCTACAGAATCACAGAACACTCTGAGCTGGAAGGGACCCATGAGGATCATCAAAGTCCAGCTGTGCAGGCCAAGCTCCCATCCAAGGAGCCTGTCTGCATTCCCAGCAGGGCAGAGAGCACAGAGCAGAGTGAGGAGGGAATGAATAGTTTCCCCTGGCACCCTCTTGGTGTCACAGACAGGACTAAAAACCCGGGTACACCTGAGCTGGCTCCTCATGGAAACCCCACAGATCCGTCTGTTTGCACCCCTCCTCGTTGGCAGGATTGTGATGGACCATCTGCTGGGTCTGCCAAGCCTCAGAATGACCCACATGAGTCAGGATTATTCACCACAACTCTGCCCCTCAGCACGAAATCCTGCTGCCCTGCCAGCACTGTCTGCAGCCCAGCTCTGTCACAGCACTAGGGATTGGGGGTGTGGAGGATAGCCCTCAGTGACACTGCAGTGCAGACAGCCCTCAGTGACACTGCAGTGCAGACAGCCCTCAGTGACACTGCACCTCAGACAGACCACAGTGACACTGCACTGCAGAGAGCCCTCAGTGACACTGCACTGCAGAGAGCCCTCAGTGACACTGCACTGCAGACAGACCACAGTGACACTGCACTGCAGACAGCCCTCAGTGACACTGCATTTCAGCCAGCCCTCAGTGACACTGCACCTCAGACAGACCACAGTGACACTGCATTTCAGACAGCCCTCAGTGACACTGCACCTCAGCCCTCAGTGACACTGCACCTCAGCCCTCAGTGACACTGCACCTCAGCCCTCAGTGACACTGCACCTCAGCCCTCAGTGACACTGCACTGCAGGCTCCAGCAAAGGTTCATTACCAAACAGCAACACCACTTCCCCCACGCCATTTTCCAACTTGGCTCTTCCAGGCAGGTGAGAGCAGGAATGAGCCGTGGCTGCATTGTACTGGTGGTGCCTGTGCGCCTCGGGGATTATCCATATGGATTTGGAGATGTGCTTTTAGGGATTATGCTCTCGTTGTCTCACATGGCAGGGCAAGCAAAGATGTGGGCTGAGGAACAAAACACCGTATGATCCTTTTCTTCTCACTTTACCTGCCCTTGTTACTTTGAAAATAATGTACTGTGGCTTTTTTTTTCACAGGAGTCTAATGAAAAATTCCTTTTTTCTTTCAGCTATGATGAATGTGTGGGACCAGGAGCAACACAAATATATATTCCCACAGATGATCCCCCCCCATATTCTCTCATGGACCCTTGTCAAAGAAATGAAATACCTATAAATATCTATATTAGCCAGGAAGAGGAGGCAGCATCTGGGACTACAGGACAGGCTGCAAATTCTGCAGTCAGGCTGCAGGACTTGCAGCAGCCCATTCCATCCATCTCTGTCATCTCTCACCCTGGAGGCTACGCCCCTGTTCAAGACAGTGGGGTGTGAACAGAATATCCCCATCCCACATGTTCCAACAGAAGTACAGAGCAGTTCTTCCACTATCAGGCCCCAAATCATGTGAACAGAAGTGGCTCTTTCCTTCAATTCTTCTGAAGATCTCAGACCAACAAAAACACTTCAATGGAAGAATAAAACCTCTGGAAGTTTTACCTATTTTATATCTTTAAACAGGGATGCAACGGGATTTTGTTTTTTACAGTGACTTTTTAAAGTTTACCTAAACTTTCCTCTTTGTGCTTCAAAGTGTTCCATGACCTCACACAGCATAAAAGAGCAGCAGTGACAAGCAGTACACCTGACCTTCCTGAAGCATTTCAAAACACACTGAAATCAGACACTCCTAATGCAGATATGTTACCCAGTCAAGTCTACTTGTTGATTTTAGGATACTTTGCATGTTTCAGAGCAGAAGGAAAAAGAAGAGCATTTTATTGTCATTAAAGGTATCACAAGTACATTTCATTCCGTTTCTTGGCAACAAAGCATTTTTAAATAATTTTTTGGTCTAAGTATGTATTTCAGTGTAGAGAGACAAGGCACTGCCTAAAACAGACGGTGAACAGTACCATAGAGAAGCAAAAGAAAAAGGGAGTGCAATGTTTGGATAGCCACAATTTTCCTTTGGTGCCAGACTTTCCAGACCATTGCAAAGCCTGCTGTAAGTCTTCCTCAAAGAAACCATCAGCAAGTGATGGAGAAGTGGCAGTGGATGCTCAAACACCAGTTGGCTTTACCTACAGAAGTGCAGGCCTGGGAGCTTCATGGCCTTCATGGGGACTTGCCGTAGCCAAGAGAAGGGCACAGGAATCCCAGAGGATGCTTTATGCCAATTCCCACCCAGGATGCATTTTCAGGCATGACCTGGGCTCTTCTTTTAATAAGGGGTTGCAGTTTTGCTGCAGTGGCCTCTAGGAACTGGTGAGTGTGATGTAAATAGTGGATGCTGGGCTGGGCACAGGAGCAGAGAACTCACTGTGAGCACAAACCTCGGAGCCATTCCCAGCTCTGAGAAAAGAAACTAGGAAGGACAAAGCCAGTGAGCAGCAGCAGGACATTTCCATGCTGCTGCCAGGGCAGTGGGTGCAGGGACCTGGAGCTGCAGGGCACAGGGACAGCAGGGGGTGACCAGGAATGGCCAGGGCACTCCAGCCCCCTTGTCCCCATGGATGCCATCGCTGGGACACGTCTGCTCTGACACTGAGCCCCCCTGGCTGGGGGGACACAGAGTGACACAGAGGCGCTCCCCAGGCAGGGCGTGTGGCCCTGGGGTGGGCAGGGCAGTGGGCACACCCTGACAGCCGGTCCCTTGGTCACCTCTTGCTCCTTTTCCCCATGCAGATGATGCCAAGCCCCAGGACCCTGCAGCACCCTGCTGTGCCCAGCTCCCCTGGTGCTGGGAACACCCCTAAAGGACAACACACCCCAGAGATCCTGCTGTTCACCTGAGGTGCACGTGTGCCAGAGGAAGAGCCGCTTTCCTCTCTTCCTTTTCATGGCCCAGCAAAACAAGTTGCAAGACTGGGACTAGAGGACAGCCCTGAGATCAAAGGGTGAGCAATGAGCACAGTTCCACCTGACTGCCTTAAAATAGTTTGGATCCTACTGTTCACTTCTGCCTGGAATAGTCCCACTCCTCATCTGGAAGCTGCTGTGAGTCTGGCTGAGGACAGACACAACCCACACAGAGAGCAAGGGGAACTCAGCCCTGTGCTTTCCTTGGGGGAGCACCCTTGGGAAACTTCTTGGCTGTGTTGTTTTGGAACTGGTAACTGCAAGAAAACCAATCCCTCTTGTGTTTGCACTAAACATTTTTAAATCATTTTTAAGTTCTCTGTCTAATGGAAAACCCCTGGGTATCTACATCTTCAGTGAGCACCACTCAGCAGAGTTATCAGAGGCACATTTCCACTAAATCTTAGGGGTATTTTCACTGAAATTAAAAAAAAAAGGTTTTTTTACACTTGCAGAAAGGACTTCATTTCCTATTTCCACCAAAGGATACATAAAACTGAGTATAGCAAATCTATAATTGTATTCAAAAGGAACCATCATCCAAATTATTAAAATTGCACTTAGATTTTCTGTAAATACGGAATGATTTTCAACTGTAATCATCATTCAACACTCCAAGGATTGACACAGTTATAATTAATACTTAGATGGGAAGTAATTATATGCTTCTTTCTGCTATATAAATTATACCATTACTGAGTCATATGCACACGATGAGGTGAGGTGAGGTAAGTATGCATTTTTTGTTAAGTAGATGACAGTAAATATGTATTTTGCTAAAATAACAGAATTCTTTTGCAGTTCAGTAAGATTTTCAATATTCTCAGTGTACTCTACCCAAAAGAACAAAAATACACCATTTTGCATTGCAAAACTGCTGGCAGGCATTGGCACAATGTAGGCTATATTTCATATTTTTATTTTTTAGCAGAGAGAACAATTCCTCTATACAAAGTACTATTTAAACAGTTTTGTGGTACACAAAGTATCCTGCAATAAGAGAAACAAACCCCTTCATCACCTATAAGGGACCAGGGATGAAAACCAGCCCAGAAATGCACCAGTCAGTTTTATTGGCAGGAAACTCAGAAGTGAAGGAAGGCACAGAGGTTTGTTTCTGCAGCAGAGGAGCTGCTCTCAGAGCTGTGCCTTCCTGCAGCTCTTGGAAACCTGCCTGGAACACGGAAAGGCCACGGGACCAGCCCAGCTTCCTTCAGGCTCGGGCTGGGGAGGTGCAGGGGGAAATCTCATCCACAGAAATTAGAAGGCAAATGTAATTTCTTTTGTCCTCACAGCGAGCCTCTTATGCAACATGACAAACATGGACATTGCAGACAAGCACAGAGGGCTCTTCACACGTGGCACACAATGTGTCTGTGCATGGTGGGGGACCCTTTGGACCTATTTGGCTTTTAACCTTTTTAACAGGGATTTCCTGCCCTAAGTCTCTATCTGTAGTTCACAAAACAAGGTGATTTTAAGCGGACCTCTGATGAAAATGGGAGATGGACATTTTACTTCATGACAGCAATGCATTAGGAAGGTTATAGAAAACTAATCAAAGTCTTTCATCCTTTGGTAATATTGAAGCATCCCCAGCACTGTGGACTGTCAGCGGCAGCGTTTCTCACACTCTGCTCCCTCTGGTGGTGTGAACCACTGCAGAAAGTCTGGGCATCCTCACAGCACGGATTCACCAAAATAATCAGATCAGTCCCAGCTGCCTGGTCACACGGATATGGAGCCACCCAAATCATACACTGCCATACTGTAGCATTTTCTAAGTTATCACTGAACACAAGGGTTTTTCATTCATTGCAAACAAATATCTTTAAAAAACAAACTGTGAACTAAAGGCAGAGTGATACCTTACCACGATCACCTGCAAGAGTGGCTTAGAATTCTCTGCTCTTGTTAATGTTTTTAACTGAGTGATGTCCAACAAAGCTGTGGGGGGAAAAAAAGTCTTATAAATCCAACCAAATACCTCTGCAAACAGACAGCACTAGAAAAAGAAGTTTTAGCTCTAAAACACTACAAAGAGAAGTTTGCAGCTCTAGAGCTGCTCCAACAGCTTCCAACACTGCTACTGCAACAGTGATGAGATTTGTTGTAATGATGCAATAAGAACATGTTTTAATTTCTTTAAGAATATTTAAGATCTCAGATAAATCTCAGCAAAGTGGGCAGTGTCTCTCCTGATGCTGCTCTTAAGAAATTCCTATTCTGCTGTCAGATTTTATCCTAAACTCTTGGAAAATTCTAATGCCAGTGCTAAAAGCCAGGTTTAACACAGAGCTTTCATTTCTTATATGACTAATAAACTGCTTGGCCATGCTGTTCCTTGCTATGTGATCACAATCCTGTATTTCTGTAGTCACCTCTTTTGGTTCTACTTTTAGTACTGATCTTTACACAGAACTTTTAGTAAAGAACATCCACTCTTGGTATGGTTCCTGTGCTTTTTTATGTTGCCAGTACCACTTTGGGACACCCACCTTTAGTCTCTGGGTAATCAGGCAGTTGAGGAACTGCTGACAAAGCAACATTGTTCTTTAATCACTTCCATTTGGATTTTACATTTGTCAGGAATAAGCAACCATGGGAACACTCAGGTCAGTGTGTGCCCAGCCAAGGTCAGAGCAGGAAGGGAAGAGTCTACAAAGTTGAAAACTGTTAGCCTTGAAATGCTCTCAAGATTTCTAGAAGCATCAGAAACCTTCACAAGTACTTTCATAGATACCTGAGAAAATCACTGAAGTCAGGACACTGGAAAATAGCTACATACCACCAAGGGAAAAGATGAAATGCTGGGAAATAAAAGGTCAATTCTCCCAGAAGTGTTCAAACAGATAATTTTTTAGCACAACAAGGCGAGTAATGGTTTATTCCTGAATGGTAAGCACATCAGACTGATTTAACTGGTCTTTGTACGGTCTGACAAATCATTCCCCACCTTAAACTACGGAAATACTTTCTATATAAAATTATAGCCATAGCCTTCTATGAATTAAAATAATAATCATCATACAAGGGAGTCTGTATCAATTTCTCTGGGTTAGTTTGAAAGGATGTGTCAGAGATGTCCTAATGAAAATACTGAGTGTTGCTGGATTTCAGAGCTTTCAGAGAGAATGGACCTATTAAAATCAGCACACCACATCAGACTAGGAGAAGCAGCAGTATGTAGGAGGACAGGACAGGAATTTGAAGAGAGAGAGAAATAGTCTGGAAAGCACAAGGTGCAATTCAGTGGACACATATGCAAGTCCTGCACTTGAGAAATGTAGGCTCCAATTCACAAATGCACCACACAGTGACCTGTCAGAAGGCAGGAGAATGTCTGAGGATGAGACTCAGGCAAGTGTGGGCTGAATATGAGCCAACAGTGTTACACTACTAGGGAAAAAAGGAAAAATTAACATCAGCAGCCTGGAAATATAAACAGTGCTATTGTTCTTAAACCATTCCAAACAGCTGTCCATTCCCTCCTGCTCTGGTAGGAAACAGAGCCCAGGCTTAGGCTCTACAATCTGATGAACCTGATGCCTGGAGGAAGGAACAAGAAAGTTAAATGGCCTGGTTATTATTTTTCTTGGGTTTGCATGACAAAGAACAGAAAGCTGTTCTTCACTGCCATATAGAAATGAGATTTTAGAACTGAGGGGAAATGGAGAATTAATATTTGATACATCATAGAGGAAGAAAGATTCCACATTACTAGAGATGGAAAGGGCAAGTTTCAGTTCTCCCCTTCCAGCAGAGCTTCCCATGTGCTCTCTTTGTCACTGTCTGACAGTGTCTGATGGTTCTCCATGGTCTGGGAGTTGGCAGCTGTGGTGTTTTCAATCTGTATTAGCAGCTCTCCAAACCCCAGAGGCTCTGCCAATACCCTCTGGAAACAGATTCTCTTCGCCCAGACCACACTGGTGACCCTTGGCTTCCAAGGTCATACTGTTGTCACAGCAAAGACCTTTCAGTGAAAATACTCATCACCAAAAATATATCCAATATATAGAGAGCACCTCCAGCTCCACTGATGTTCTACATGTGAGATGGAAACTGTAGATAGATCAGATACTAAATTCATGTTTTCTGAATTCCCAGCAGCATTTCATGCATTAAAACTTCTCAGCTAACAAAGGACATACTCCTTTCCCTTTTCCTCAGCTCACAGTACTTTGTGCTTGAACACTGCTGACTGAACTCATAAGAATATGAGAAATTTGCAGCTCAGATTTCAGACAGGTCCAGATGTTCTCATTTCCACCAAAGCAAGGAAAAATAACAAGCAAAACATCTTCCATGTCCAGCAGAGGCACAGAGTTAAAGCTTTAGGAACACAGAAAAATCCAGGGTGGTTCATTCATGTTTTGGCTCCAATGCCTTGATCCTCTTATTTGTTCTCCAGCATTCTCTACCAATATTGTTCCAAAACCTTGCTCAGGCTAAATCAGCCCAACTGCAATAAGAGTCAGGTGTGTGGCCTGATGTGATTCACCAGGTATTGGCATTGTGCCTTTTGATCTCCAGGAAACAGCAAGTTTGCAGAACAGCTGGAGGTGGCCATTCCTCTCTGCTGAATTCCTCCTTCTCTCCTCTGGCCAGAGATTTGCCTTGCTGTAGTCTTAAAAAAACTCATAGATTCTGATTCTGTTACACTTCAAATGAACCCAGTACATTTACAATGGAGAGATTTCTTTTTTAAAATTTAAATTCAAATTACAATGAAGCAGCAGAAGAAACCTGTAAAAATTAGGATTTTTTTGTCACAGCTTTGTCATAGCAGGATTTTTTATTTCTGCAAGAAACTGAAATCAGTAATAAACAAAACTATTATAGACAAAAAAAAAAAAAAAAAGAAAAAAAGAGAAAAACTTCTTTGCAAATCCTTTCAAAATCTCACTGAAGAAGGAAGAGCCTGATAGAAGATCTCACAGCTCAGGGAACTGCAACTGGACTTTCAGGTACCCAAGTGCTCTGTCCCCTTGGCAGTGATGGGATTGGTACCTCATTGGTACCACACACACATGCCAGGGAAGTGATTAAGCTTCCCTTTTAGGGAACAGAGTTTTATAACACTAGAATCTTCAAAACACAGAAAATAAATCCCATCCTGGGAGTCTGTAGAAGCAAAGTAATTCAGGGAATAACACTCACAGACAGCTGGATAGAGACACCTCGGTGTTTGCTGTGTGAGGCAGGTACAAGACAACCTCACTTTAACATGGGGGCACCAGGGGCATCTGTCCCCCCTTCCCTCTTGGCTGCACCAGCAATTTTTATACAACAATTGTCCACACAGAAATTCTACAGAAGTATTTCCTAATGACATGTCACTTGGAATGACGATCACCAGCACATGTTTTTGGAAAGTCCTCTTGTCTGGAAAGCCAGAGAGGAAACCAGCTTGTTTGCAACACTCCACATGCACCTTCCAGGGGAAAAGACACAGGACTGGGGAGGCCAAGCAAGGCCAAGATTTCAGTGGATCGGGAGAAGCCACCCACTCTCAGTGGCTAGCAGTGAGACAGATATTCACTTTTAAATCTGTCCTGTCATGAGGACAATCTGTAATAAGATGAGGCATTAAAAAGACATGAAGTCTTTTTAATTCACACCTGCAGCAAGTCAGTGGAGACACCACTAATGGCACTGGTCCACACAAAAATTAAGGTCATGGGAGGCCAGTGCCAGCACTGGTTTAGGAAGTCACACAGGTGCACACCGTCGTAGTAGCCACAGGTGGTGACTCAAAAATTCAGATTCCAAATTCAAGATTAGCAAAATCACCTGGATCACCTGGAAATCACCAGTGATTTCCAGCTGCTGGACCTGACCTCCATTTAAACCCATTCCAGGACATTGTCAGCCACCTCAGCAGACACAAGTCTGTTCCAGCTGTTCCCCAGACCTGGTGTGACTGTTCTGCTGTGACACATCATGACACCTCATGACAAGAGCGAGACCTCACGACACACCCTCACTCCCAGTGACACACCCTCACACTGACAGCCAGACCCTCAGGATTTGAATCGGACTTTAACAACGAAAATAAAAATTCAGTCAGTAGCTGTAGCTGCACAGTTATGATTACACAAGTGATTTGAGAATGTTTGAGCTTGGCTGACCTTGTGTTTTAAGGCAAAGGGAAGACAATTCCAAGAGGAACGGGCTGTCTGGGAGAGAGGCAGGAGCGATACCGGCAGGACTGAGCAGTGCCTGGGGAAAGGCAACTCCAGCAGTGAGAGCTCGGGCCAGCCAATGGACCCGCTGAGCTCAGAACGGACCCAGCTCCAGAGCAGGGCAGAGCAGCCCCTGTGGGCTCACCGGACATATCGAGCAAAGAGGGGCTGATCACTGACTGACAGCAGGTGATGTCAGCTGTAACCAAGGAATGCCGATGCCTTTGTTTGTTAAAACGTACGAGTGGTGTAAAGTTTCGGTGATGGGGAGCCCCCCGTGGGCTCCCTGCTTTGCACAGCTGCAATACAAACAGAAATGCATCGCCTCGGTGTGTGAATCGGCGCTGGGCCGGGAAAGGAGCCCGCGTGCGGCACAGCACCAGGCCGGGACGCGCTCCCATATCGCGACAGAAGCTCACGGGACGGGACACGCCCCCATGACAGGGCACGCCCCATTAGGGACACGCCCCATTAGGGACACGCCCCATTAGGGACACGCCCCATTAAGGACACGCCCCATTAAGGACACGCCCCATTAAGGACACGCCCCCAGTCGCCACTTCCGCCCCGCCCTCCCGCCTTTCGCTTTCTGTTCCCGGGGCTCCGCCCCCGCGCTGACTGACAGCCCGCAACACCAATGGAGAGGCGGCCCTTTGTGGCGCGGCCAATGGCGGGAGGAGTGGGCGGGGCCCGCGCGACACGGCGGCCAATGGCGGGCGGGGGGCGGGGCGCTGCCCGGCCATGGCGGCGCGGGGCCCCGAGGCGGCGGCGTTGCGGGCGCTGTACCTGTCGCGGGTCGCGGCCCGGCCCGGGCCCTGCGCCGACCCCGCCATTGCCGCCCGGGCGCGGCGGCTGCTCCTGGGCCCGGAGGGGCTGCCGGGCCCGGGGCACAGCGGGGCCCTGGACGTGCGCGCCGTGGCCGAGCGGTGCCGGCGGGCGCGGGGCGATCGCGCCCTGCGCGACCTGGTGAAGGCGCTGGAGCTGCTGGAGCTGCTCTGTCTCAACCTGCTGCTGTGCCCCTGGCGCAGGGAGATCCGCTCGCTCAAGGTACGGGACCGGGGGGAGCCGGGGCTGCGGGGCCAAGCCCCGGGCCGGGGAGGGCAGCGAGGGATGGAGCGGGGCCAGGGGCACGTCATGCCCGGGACAGGGCTGGGAGCGGTTTCATGGACACATCCTGCCCGGGACAGGGATGGGAGCTGGAGCAGTGTCATGGACACATCCTGCCCGGGACAGGGATGGGAGCTGGAGCAGTGTCATGGGCACATCCTGCCCGGGACAGGGTGCTGGGAGCTGGAGCAGTGTCATGGGCACATCCTGCCCGGGACAGGGTGCTGGGAGCTGGAGCAGTGTCATGGATACATCCTGCCCGGGACAGGGTGCTGGGAGCTGGAGCAGTGTCATGGGCACATCCTGCCCGGGACAGGGTGCTGGGAGCTGGAGCAGTGTCATGGGCACATCCTGCCCGGGGCAGTGCCCAGTGTGATGTGTGGCTGCTCCCTGGGATGTCCCCGCCGAGGCCGGCCGTGCTGAGCAGCTGCGGGGCTGGGAATAGAGCCGCGGTTGTGGTGAGGCAGCAGAGCAGCTTTGCCTCTCACCACTCTGAGCCCTCACCTCTGTTTGCTGTAAGGAGGGGGTGTTTTCCTCGGTGTTTTGGTGCCAAAGGCCTCTTATCCCAGCTGGGGGTGGGCAGGAACAGCCCCTGGGAAAGAGGAAACGCTGTTGCTTTTCGCAGCAAGGTGGTCACGGTGACCCCACTTCCCCAGCACACCTCGCACGTCTCATGGCCCTCAAGAGACACAATCTTCACACGTGCAAAATCTCAACAGAATCCCCAACACCCGGCACGAAAACTTACTGCCCTTCCTTCAGCAACACGTGCCAGTGAGGAAGAGCCATTTCTTTGCTTCTCCCTGCACGTAGGTCCCCCCTGTGGATTCTCAAACAACTGTAGGTTTCTGTTCTCATTCATCTCCTTAAAAGAGGGCAAAGCATAAGATAACCAGGCCTACAGCTGGTGGGTTCAGCTTCTCCTAACACAAAATCTTAGGTTTCATTAAAATTAAACTTTGAAGACCACTGTGGGTAACTCAAAGTTCAGGCCTGCTGAAGGTGGGGATTGCAAAGCACTGTTGACAAATTTACCCAAGAATGGACTGAGGTTCGGTCCTACATTATACATAACTGTGGCCATTTTGGGGGGCAGTTTTGTTCTCCCCAAAGCTTCTGCTTGTGAGACCAATGCTCAGGTCTCAGCCTTAGGCAGTAGTCCCAAGTCTGGCTGTCCCAAGCTGGGCAGCCTGAAAACAAGGTCTAAGTCTTGACTTTGCATTCCCACCTCTGTTCTGTGCTGACTTGCCAGGGGTTGATCATACTTAGCTTGACAGAGTCTCTCCTATCTCAGTATTTCAGACAAAACCAAAAACCACTTCCACTTTACAAACTGGGCCTCATGTCTAGGGTAGCTCTAAAACCAAGCAAATATTATTTTTGCAGTTGTTATGCAGCAACAGCAGCATTCTATTAATGTTTTGCAGAAAGCTTGTGCAAAGAGAGGTGTTTGGGCAATATTTCTGCTAGGATGGTCTGCCTTCAAAAAGGTGCTTTCAAAAAAATGGCAATTTAATTCAAAGGTAGTAAAGTTACAGCAGGAATCTGAACCGTGGAAAAAGGAGATGTTACAGCCTTGTCACCAATTAGGAAATGCAGTTAACAGTGAGTGCATCTTGTTTGCTTCTTTAGGAAAAGATCAGACCTCAGTGAGTTAGTCTGTGAATCTTTGTTTGTTTGAAAAACTTATGTTCTTCAGTAGAGCACATAAGATTTATTTCTGGTTTTCTCTACTTTGACTAAAATAATTTCTTCACTCTCTTCCTTTTTGAATGCTGATGCTCTTAGCCAGGACCTCAGCAGGTTTCAACTGGCATCACTTCACTGAAACTAATGTGCTGTAGCAAAGCTCTGATGCTTGAGAGGGTGACAAAATAATGCTTTAGAAAAGCCTCACTCACTGTGATTCACAATTCAGGCTTTTAGGAACACGGGTTTTTTTGAAAGCTGTAAGCAATTTCTGAAGTATTTTTGATTTTCAGTCTTTCACATTTTCTTCCACCCCATTCCCTCAGTGTTTTTCTGTTTCATTCTGTTTCAGACATTCACTGGTAACTTTGTCTACTATATCCAGTCAGTGCTCCCAGATGACATTGTCAAAGCAGTCCTGGAGAAAATAGGGTACGTTGCAACAACAGCAACAGAGTTTTCACTTGTCAAAAAGAGAAACAATGAGGAAACAAAGCAGACTGCATTTGAAATATTCCTGGCAAGGATCGAGTGCGAAACCATCCTGGAAATGACAAGTGAAGGAAAAGGTGGCAATTTGGAGGAGCCCCTCCAGCAGAGAACACAAACACAGCAGCACCGAGGAGAGCAGGACAGAGATCACCCACCCCAGAGGGGAGACACGGAAAATCCAGACAAGGAAGAAAGCAGTGAGACATCTTTGTGCCTCGCTCTCCAGCAGAACTGCTCAGCTCCCTGCCCTCTGTCCTTTGAAGCTGCTGGGAATGTGGAAGTCAAGGATAAGTTGGCTCAGGCAGCAGCTGCTCCATCCACCTCCATCGCTCTGGAACTCCCCAGGCAAGGCGTCGGCTCCGCGCGGCTGCCGGGGCCGTGCTCGGACAGCGAGGACTTCCTGGTCAAGTACAGTGACATTGTCATAGGACAAACACCTGTTTTCAGTGAGAATCGTTCTCCAAGGGCTTTTCAGACAGAGCCAAGAGCCAGTGTGAGTGAGGAATGTGCCTTGGCTGCAGAGCCCCGGGGGGCTGAGCTGGGGCCTGTGCCGTTGTCCCCAGGAGCCAGCGGCCCCCCAGCCTTTGCCATGTTTGCTGACAGCCCCTGTGACAGCTCAGCCCATGTGGAGTTCAGAGCTTCACAACTGCCCCAAGAATCCATTGAAGCAGAAATCAAGGATGCCATGAACTGCATAGACCCAGACCCTGCCGATGGACCCGCTGAGCTGAAGTCTCTGCCCTACACGGACTTTGCCTCTGCCCAGACTGTCCCCAGGGAGGAGGAGGTTTGTGATCTGTCCTTAACTTTCACAAAACTACAGATCAAGGACACTCAGGAAGATCTGATGTATCCAGTGGAGGAAACTGGCCAACCTGCAGCAGCAGCATGTGCAAGTGCCAGTGACAGGCACAGAAGAGAATTTAATCACTCCAAAATCAAACACGTATATCTGGCTGATGCTGAGCCATCCTCAGACCTGTGCTGTACTGCTGGGAACACGGAGCATTCCACCACTGGTTCTGATGGCAAGAGACTGTTCATGGATACTGGTAACACACACAGAGCCTCTGAGGGCTTCAGGCACATCAGAGAGCCCCCCAACCTCACCTACATCCCACCACAGAGTATCGATGTTCAGCCTTCACAGCCAAGAAGGAGCAGCACACAGGACAGAAGGACCCTCCTGCAGCCTGAACCTGACCCTCCTGAATCCAGTGAAGTAACTCTGGAGAACTGGAATTCAGAACTGAGTGAAAACCAGGAGCCTTATGTCATTATTGACAGGACCGACCAAGGAATGTTATGCCATCACATTTGAGTCTACCAGTGCTTTATCTCTAATCTGCCTGGGGGTTTTGCCTCTCACTTGTGGCCTTGATCATCTTTTCAAGGAGATGGTTAGTTTTGTCAAAACAGTTTAAAAAAACCCAAAACCACATTACTGCTTTTGGACAGTAAAAAACAGGAGTAGTTTGTTAGCTCATTGCATTCCTTGGAAGCTGTTCTGAGCTCATCTTCCTCCTGCCTTCAGCTGAGAACAAGTTTAGAAAGTTTGACAACGTTCCTCTAGGTTTGAGGAGGGAAACAGCCCTGTGAACACTCTTGGGTTTGGAGAGGCAATAACCTGTATTACGGGTTTTATACCTGCCTTCATTTATAACCAGAATATTTTGTGGTTACTACCACAGTTTTCAAGAGAAGCTTTGAGCATCATAAGTGTTCACTGCCACCAGGAGAGAGATCCAGCTACTGCTGCCATTTCCCTTGCCCCTGCTCCTGCCACTTCAATCTGCACCAGGATTCACAGAATTTTTCTGTAAACCAGTTCATTTTATTCATTTTATTTCATCATAAAATTAAGGAGGAAAAACTGTCATTCTGTGCCATTTTATTGTCAAGGAAATGTCAGCAGAGAAGGTTGCAGTGAGCACCAGAGCCAGGATGAGGGATTCTCTGGAAGCAGCAGTGCTGTGTGCTGAGAGGGAAGGGGAGCAGGAGTGTTGGATCAGCTGTGAGCTGAGTCACACCAGGGAGAGCCTCTGTTAATTCATTTAGAAAATGAATTAAATGTTGTACCTAGTACCTAGCCACTGGTACTGTACTTAAGCAGAGTCTTCAGTGCTTCTTTATACACTTGTTACCCAGAAGGACACTTTAATACTGCATTGAGCAGCTTTTCCAGCAGCACTTCAGTGTTTGCTGGTTTTGGCTGGGGTGGAGTTAATTTTCTTCACAGTGGCTAATATGGGGCTCTGCTTTGGATGCTAAAAGTGCTTTGTTGTTTCATGTATAGTTTAAACAGTAGCTGAAATTAATTTTGTATAAATAGCTTATAATTGATGTTCAGCCCTCAAAAAATTCAAAGAGGAGCACATGGATTACACTAGAAAAAGCTCAGAAGCTAAAATGTAAAGATCTGCTTTTTGAACCACTAATTGCTGAAGTTCTGCCATCCCCTGGTTCCAGCAGTGTGGGAGGAACAGAACTTTGCCCAAGCTCACACCAAGGGCTGCCTTCAGCTTTGGGTGAGGTTGTGAGAAACAGTTATTATGGACAAAAAATGTTCACAGGGCTCTTTCCTGACAAATCACAGTGACATCCTCTGGGCTGTAGGATTCTCTGTACTAAACCATCAAGTGAGATTTTCTGGACTGTACAAAACATGCATCCTGGGCTTCTACAACCCATAATGAAATCAGAATTTAGAACAAACTGCTGATGACTGAACTTCAAATTTATAGAACCATTTCCAAAGAAACAGTTCTTTTGGACTCTTTTACAGAAGAAAAAGGTTTGAAAGTTTAACAGAAGGTTTTAAGAATAATCACTATCCCCCTACAAATAAGCTTCAATAAGAAAGATAATTAATTAGCACACAAAATCTTATTTTTAAGCTAGAATTCTAAAGATTTACAACAGACCCATAGCATGGCATTACTGGGATCACTGGGATCCTTAGTACTAACTCAGTACTAAACCAGGAAATGCTCAGTGCACTCATCATTAATAAGTCGTAGTGATTTGGGAAAAAAAATAGCCCATCAAATGGGACTAACGAGACATGAACTGCAGTTCCTGACTTGGTGCAGTCCCTTCAATGCAAGGTTTTTAGTCATACCACAAAACTGCAAAAGAAAGGCAGTGATCTCCAAGAGCAATACCATCAGATGGTGTTGAAAGGCCACGTCACCCAATATTTGTGTCCTCCAAGTGCCAGACAAATGTCTGCAATCCGTGCTCACTGATGCCTTCCTTGCTCCAGCTAAAGCAACCAAAACCATTAGGGAAAATGTATGTATATTGTACTTCAGGGATCATTCCCCTAAAATTACACAAAAAAAGTAAGGTGAACACAGTCCAAACTGCCTTGAAAGGATTACCTTGAAGAGAACATTCAGAGGGTAAAGCACCAGAGAAGGGCAACTCAATACTTGAGCTGATGAGTCCTGAATGAAACCCCCACTAGTTCACTCTCCAAGTACCTGCAGGTCATAATAAACTCATCACAATCTAAACTCAAAGAACCATCTGTATTTTTCTTTGTAAAAAGAAGTAAAATCAGAGAATCTGAAGCAGTTAAGAAATCAATTAGTTCTAGGATTTTATAACCATTTGAAAGGAACAACAAATGCCTTTCTGTGCACCCTGTTTTGTCACATGTCCTCAGCCATAGCAGGGCTGGGGATCTCATCAACACTGGAGAGAAATAAGCCCTCTACAGAAACCTGGCTGTGATACAGCCTGAAAGCCTTTCTGCAATCACTTACAAATCTGTGGTTTGGGTTTGTCTTTTTTCGCCACTGAATTCAGTGGAACTGCTACAGAACTACAGCTACATTGTGGTGTCCTGTAGAGCAGAAGGAACGTGCTGAATTCAGTGGAACTGCACTAGTGTAGGGTTAGAGTAAGACCCAAGATTTCAAACTGGTAAGACCTATTTAACAAAGCTGCTTCACTTGATGCACTTCATTTGCTTCCTCTAATAATAAAGAAAAGAACATCCCACCTCTTCCATTCCTTGAACACCTCCAGGGATGGGGACTTCACCACCTCCCTGGGCAACCTGTTCCAACATCTAATCACGCTTTCTGTGAACAAAATCTTCCTGTTGTCCAGCCTAAACCTCCCCTGGTGCAGCTGAAGATTGTCCTCTTGTCCAGTCACTTGTTCCCTGGGAGCAGAGCCCAACCCCCACCTCACTGCAAGCTCCTTTCAGGTTGTAGAGAGTGAGAAGGTCCCCCCTGAGCCTCCTTTTCTCCAGGCTGAGCATCCCCAGCTCCCTCAGCCTCTCCTGGTGCTCCACACCCTTCCCTGGACATGCTCCAGCCCCTGGGTGTTGTTCCTGCAGTGAGGGGCCCAAAACTGGACACGGCACTCGAGGGGCCTCAGCAGTGCCAGCCCAGGGGAATGGGGGCTGTCCTGCTCCTGCTGCCACACTATTCCTGATCCAGGCCAGGTGCCCTTGACCTTCCTGCCCCCCTGGGCACACCTGGCTCATGTCCAGCCCTGTCACCAGCACCCTCAGGGCCCTTCCCACTGGGCACTTTCCTGCCCCTCTGCCCAGCCTGGACCTGCAGGGGGTTGTTGTGGCCAAAGTGCAGGACCTGGCACTTGGCCTCTTTGACCCCACACCCAAATTTGCTAATGGTGCACTCAGTCCCCTCATCAATAAAGACACTGAACAGGACTGGGCCCAACACTGATCCCTGGGGACACCACTGGTGACCAGATCCCAGCTGGATGCAGCTTCGTTCCCACCACTCTGGGCCATCAGCCAGTTCCTAGCCCAGCACAGGATGCCCCTGGCCAAGCCTTTTCCAGAGTGTCCCATGGGAGACGGTGTCCCAGGCTGTGCTGAAGGCCAGGCAGACACATCCACAGCCTTCCCCTCCTCCACCAGGTGGGTCACCTGGTCACAAAAGGTTGGTCAGGCAGGACCTGCCCCTCCTGTTCCTGTGCTGGCCGGGCCTGATCCCTGGCTGTCCTGAGTGTGAGCACACCCAGAGGGATCTGCTCCACAACCTTGCTGGGCACTGGGGTTGGGCTGACTGCAATAAACACACCTCCCTCACACACACCCCAGTCACTGGGGTCCCTTCACCCCAGTTCACCACAAGGGGTTTACCAACAGCAGCCTCAGTTCTCTGCTTCAGAGGCAGGTAGTAACAAATCATTTATTTTAAATTACAAAACCAGGGTTGTCTTTAGGGAAAAATAAAGAAGAAACTTAAGTTACTTCTAGGAAGCAGCAGTGAAGTGGGAAATAGGGGAAACAGCCATATTTTAGCTGAAGAGATCTGACACAGTAAAGCTGATGGAGAACCCAAAAACACAAAAAGGGATTGGTTTATATTCTGTTCCTGACTTGAACCTGAACATTTCATAGCCATAAGTCCACAACATTCTACAAAGCATAGTGCAAAACCAAAACTAGTTATATTTAAATATTAAAAATACCAAATCAGACTTCATAAACAGTATTTGGTACAACAATCACAGGCTCCTATAAATGGTGTTGTCTGTTGGATGGGTTTAGTATTTGGTCCCGTTTTTCTTCATACGTTTCTATCATTTTCTGCATGTCATGGTCAGCTCCAATAACCTTGAAAAGAAGAACATGAACATTAGAAATAACTGACACCATAAAACATGGGGGGTTTTGAGCAAAACAGAAGAGGACTAGCACTGAATCCAAACCAAGACACTCTTGAGGTCTGTCCAAATCACTTTCCATTAGAAATTTGGCATTCCCTGAAAAGTTACATGGCTGATCCTGCAACCAATCACAGTGAACAGACCCTCAAATTCCACAAAGAGATGGAAAACCACACTTCCATGCTATACACTACACATGTCTGTAAACAGTTTTCTGAGGTTCTCATTCTCCAAGGTTACCAGAAAAGCAGATTTATTTACTTTTACCACTAAATAATGCTCTTATTATTTGAAAAGTACAATCCTCCACATGCCTAACTAGTTATAATTAAAGTAATACTCACAAGCACTGGGCAGGAAACTTCAAACAGTGCACGTTTAATGAGCCATTCTTCATAGAGCTCATGAATAGCTTCTAAATATTCCTAGAAAAGAGGCAGTGGAATAACAAATATGCCCAGGGATGAAACACACACTGCAATTTATCCATTTGGTAAGCAGTTAACAAACACAGGGAAAAGCCAGCATTGGATATTTCCACTAACAAAACATACAAAGCATACAAAGGTTTCACGAAAAATTAATTCCCAGTACAAGGTTTTACTCCATGAAGAACCTCAAAGACACAGTTTACAGGAGCACAGGGCTCTCAGCTCCTTTTAAGATCAAGCGACTCTGATTCTCTCCCACAGGTATCATGTGGTTCAAGATTTTCCAGAGGAGAACCCAACAAAGAGAAGTAAGCACACAAAGGGCAAGGCTGCAAAGAATATGTACTGGAGGCACTTTGTGTGTCAACACATGTTCCTAAAATTCCCAGTTCCCTTTCTCCTGACTCGCTCAACTTCCTCTAAAAGCTTTTCTGCCTGTCATCAACTATTGGGTGTTTTTTTCTTGGAGACCACATTGTTCATTCCAAACTGCTCCCTCAGCCCTCAGCAGAGCTGTGAAACAACACAAGGACTCTCTGAATCCATCACAACAAGGATTTACTCTCAAGGCAAAATTTCACATGGCCCAAAATGGAGCTCTTTGCCACTGACAGTTGCTTCTCCTGGACTGCCCAGCACTGGAGGTACAGCAGACAGGCTGTGTGTGCAGAGGGAACCCCATTTGTGTCTGGTCAGGCTTTCTTTAGTTAATTCATTCACCAAACTGGCACTGAAAGGGATCCTTCCATTACCACAGTTAATTTTAAAGCACATTCCCACACTTCAAATTTTCCAAAAGTTGCTTCTTTTCACACACAAGCAGAGACACTTTTCCTGCATAAACATCCTGGTAACAGCAGACAACAAAGTGCCCACAGAAATCTCCAGCACCTGCATACCCAGGTATTTGTGCTTCAACTGGCTGCTTTTATGCCATTTAATGGTACAAAAGCAATTGACTTTTTACATCTTAGAGAAGATTAACAGTTGATTAATACTCCACCTAAAGTCAGCTATAGTACAGTGATTACTAAAACATAACACTTGGGACAGTCAGTATGCATGACAGATCATTTTTTAAAAATAAATCAAAATTAAATACTCAGGTTCTAGTTTGCAGTGGAAACAGCTGCACCACATTTTGGCAGTACACTCAGGACACCATTTTAGTAATTAGATTGGAATCATTATGTTTTTAAGTCTCCTTGTAACCACATACATGGGAGGAACTCCTTACCAGAGGAATGATCTTTTCTTCTTCTCTGCATCGTGTTTTTAACCTCTCATAACAAACTTTAGGAGATGTCTGCAGATAAACTGTTATAGCAAAAATTAGAATAGTTATGATCAAGGATCAGCTTTAAAAGCAAAGAAGAACTACAGAAGGAAAGAATCCTGACTTGGATACCACCACCGAGCCCCCCTTTGGCACTACCATTAATCCATCCACGAACCACCCACAAATCCAAGCTGTCTGATGCTACATGTTACAACCACTATTACACTGAATAATGTGATTATTTATTACCCAACAAACAAGAACTATTTTTACTCCCAGTAAAGAAACCCACCCAGAAACACACCCCTCCAGATCCCATGGAAATTTTACCTATTAAATCCACTGAAACATCGATGTTGTTCTTGATCCAGTCAAACCATTCACTTAGCACAGCATAATCCACCTCTGGCATTTTTCCACTGAACAAACAGAAGAGCCATCACTCACTGAACAGCATGCAGAGATCAATTCCAAACTCTGTTTTTTCTCACCAAACTAGAATTGCTCCCCATTTACTCCAGCATATATGAAATGAAAACAACACCAGTGTTATTCCCACCCAAATTGAAGGCCACATAAACCATTGTCTATACAAGAGAAAGATCAAATATTTTTCTTTCAAGTGCTTATTAAAACAAACTTTCTATTATTAACAGTTACAAACACTAATTTTTTTCCACTACAGTTAAGAAATAATTACTTGGTGACAAGGAAGAAAATATTACCACAGTGACATTCACACAATAACAGCAAATTAGTGTCAGTGGTTATTTATTGCTCAGGTTCTTTGGATCAAGATCATTTCAAATCTATCTGCAGTGCATGTCACCAGAAGGGCTGGGTTTACTCAGCAGCACTGACAATTCCTTACAGAAGCCACAGTAAAGAGCAGTGAAAAAATAATGACACTGTAAACAAATTTATTCCCACTGTAAGAAATATTTGTGGAAAGAGTAGTGAAATATTCAACATGCTTAATTGGAGCTCTGTACTCAGAGAGCACAGACAACATAGACAACAGCCCCAACTATCTCACCAAGAATAATAAAATATCAGGGAGTTACAGAGAATATGTTAAGAATCACATTAATATTTTATAATAAAAACATTCTGGTTTTATTAGTCTCAGATTTTCACTTATTACCATATTCTTAGTAGTCAAATATTACTAGTTTTACATTATCCTGTCTTCAAAACTGGTGACAGTAACACATACTCCACACTCCTTCCTAAATGCCTCTGCAATAAAAATATAAAAAGAGATGGAGTTGGAAGGCTCCTGTCCTCTGCAGCTGAATGATTCACACCAGTTACAACATATTAAATAGTGAAGAACGAGATTCCACAGATTTCTAAGCCCTTCTCCTGGCAACGTGCTTTGATCACTAGCAAAACTGAGGAGATAATACAGGAAGGTATTTCCCTTTATGTTTGTAAGAAAGCAAACCCCATATTTGTACCCCCTCAATTCTTTATCTGCCATCCAGCTGAACGTCCCACCTCCTAAAATGGGATTTCTCACTTTCTAAAATGGGATATCCCCCCCAGAAATGTGATAACAAGTCATTGCTATTCCTCTGATATACCAATCTGATACAGTCCTGGGTAGCAGGGACCTACATAAGCCAAATACCGATTCTGCTACTTTTCTCCAGGATAGATGGGGAAAACTGGAAGGTCAAAAGGAATTGGAAATAAGAAAAAACACCACTATTCTTACCCTAAAAGATGGTAACATCCAAGTCAATTCTGCACTGACCTGCCCTACAGAAAACCTGCCTTTGCTTCCCCTTTGTCATGGAGTACCCTGGATAACCCTGTGCAGATTCTGGATCAGGCTCAAGATCCATAAAGATACAGAGAATGTACAAGGCACAAAAGGGTGTTCTCATTTCTGAGGTTTGCTGACATTTGACTCCTGCCAAGTCAAGTTTTCACTGCAGAAGTTGAACATGAACAGACCGAGCTCTGTATTATAACTAACTACGAATTCCAAGGGGACAGAGGGAACTGTGGTGCTCACACCCTGCAGCACAGCCTGCACACTCCTGTGCACACATTTAGATTTCTCCTGGTTTTACACCCGACATGAGTGTGCCTTTCATGCCGGACTCAAGACACAACTGCACTCAGACTGCAATCCCAGACCTTGGAACTCGTGCCTCTCTCCACCTGCCACGGGCACTCCCAGCAGCTGCTCACAATTGAAGCCTTCCATCATTGTTGTAAATCTTTCTCTGGTTCTCTCTGGGACAAAGCCTGCAGAGCCAAAACTGAGTGACTGGATCAAAGAACTGATATCCCTGATGTTCCCACAGCTCTTCATCCCTTGCTTACACTGACCACTCTCCTAAAGGAGCAGAGTTTGTGCAGACATGAGAGAACAGCAACAGGGGGGGACCTTCTCAGCCTCACAACTCCCTGACAGGAGGGGGGAGCCAGGGGGGTCGGGCTCTGCTCCCAGGGAACAAGGGACAGGACAAGAGGAAACGGCCTCAGGCTGTGCCAGGGGAGGATCAGGTTGGAGATTAGGAAAAATTCCTTCATGGAAAGGGTTGTCCAGCCCTGGCGCAGCTGCCCAGGGCAGGGGTGGAGTCCCCATCCCTGGGGGATTTAAAATCCATGTGGATGTAGCACCTGGGGACATGAGTTAGTGGTGGCCTTGGCAGTGCTGGGGAACACTTGGACTTGATGATGTTAAAAGTCTCCACCAACCTAAACAATTCCATGGTTCTTCTCCATCTTTAGGACTGGGACCCTAAGCAGTACCTTCTCTTACAGAAAAGAAAGCACAAAATAACCTCTGCTCTGCACTTTGCTTTTGGCCACTACCAGTGACAGGGTATGAGGGAGGCTAGATTTACTTTTTTTTTAATGTGATACAAAATAGCTGTTTTCATACAGCCCCAATTATTCCTTGTTTTATTTAAAATCCTTTTACACACCCTTTTCTTCTGGCTTGTTATTGGTAGCACCAGCTGCCTTCTAGCTTGCAGCAACAAAACAAAGCAAATGCTTTTCATCCAACATTAAAGAGTGCTAAAGCCATGGAACACCTTAGATGCCCTTAAAATGTTATTACAGAATTATGGAGTTGACACAACCAGACTTTGCCTCATAGCAACTGAGTTCTGAGTCTTTGGGACAAAAGCACTTTGTCTACAGTGAAAAAGAAAAGTCAGTAATTAAAAACAAGAAGGATATTCCAGGACACTTCCACTGGGATAAAGAGTGTCTTTCTGTTTGCCTCACGTCCTACTGTGTCTCTCCCCACTCCCAAAGCCATTCCTGCAGCACGGATGACACCTTGTGGCAAGAAACTGGTTCGTGCCTTGAGGCCACTGAAAAACCCACTAAAACAACAGCCTGTTCAATTAAAGGTCAGCATTCCAAACAAAGCAAACCCAAGACACTCAGTGGTGGTTACTGCACTGCTTGGTTAGTTTGGGATGGGTGAGCTGGACATGGGGCAGGTAATAAGTGATTGTTCTTTCTTCACTCACAGCCTACCAAGGTTTGCAGCCTGGTTTGATCCTGTAAATCCTGAGCCAGAGCAAGTGACTCGAGTTCCTGCTTCTCCCTCAAACTCCTGCTTGCAAGAAACACCAGTCCTGGGTGCCAGGTTGGGTAACACTACCTAGTTCCCTCCTTCCTACAGTGTTATTCTTTATATCCTCATGGGTTTTAACCTGTTCAGCGTGTGTTTGCTTTGATTTAGCAGGATTTTTGTATTCAGCTGGAGAGCAGATAACTTCAGCAGATGTTGTCCAACTAAACTCTGTGCTAAACACACAGGAGCACTGCTGAGAAAGGCTCTCCATGTCCTACAGGTTTAATTTTACCCGTGGGCAGCACATCCTGACCCAACACACTGCCACTCCAGCACAGAACTGACAGATTTCACAGGCCACTTGGATGCATATTACCAAAGAAATTAGCAGCTGATTTTATATATATATACATATATATACACACACATATACATATGAAAATTAATTAATCCAAGGAAGTGAAGTATAAATCCATGTACCATACCTTCTGTACAAATTTTCCACAAAGATGTGTTTTGCACTGTGAATTGATCTCTCCATCATTCGGACTGGAGAAGTCTACAAAACAAAACTTGACAGTGTACATTTTTCAGCATGTTTGTTATCTTTGCAGACTCACACTGCACATTATATGAAACATATATGATTTTCAGATCTTTCTTTCAGATTTTGTGACAAACAAACTTACTGGGAGGGTGGGAACCACAAAAAAATCAAGGATTCCTGATCTTATTTATGGTCACTGCATTATTAAACAGCTACATAACTAATTTGTTATTCATACACAATTTTCAGCATTTGGTTCATTTGAATGATTTTTTTCTGCAACAGAACAGGATTTCTATTGTCTTGGAAAAACAACTCTTCAAAAACCTAATGTCAGTATCACTCACAAGTGGTACTGCAGAAAAGTTTGCCCCGACACAAACCCAGAAAATAAAACTTAACAACAATCATTAAGATATGAGCATGGCATCTAAGATTAGATCTTGTAATCAGGGAATGGAAGACAGCATGGAATGGAAGAAGCCAAGAGAATAAACAAATCTTGGTAAAAATGTAGAGCATAAAAAATCAGTATAGAGAAAGAAAATATTACAAGAAAAAGAGGATGTAAACCATCTGAAAACAAAGGAGGAGAAAACGTTAGAAGCACTTGGAATAAACACAAGAAGCAAGGGCTAAATGAATTCTAACACGAGACTATTTAATGTTTGCCAAAGATCTGAAATAGCAAAATTACAGACAAGGCACTGAGGTGAGATGAGGAAGATTCTAGCTCCTCAGGCTGGTGCCAAACCAGCAGCACCAGTTTGGAGAAGTCAAAGCTCTGAGCAGGCAGGAGGCAGATGTTTTGCCCCCAGAGCACACGTCTTTGTACCACAAAAATTCCTCCTCAGTGCAGGAACAAAGAATGAACACAGATAGATCCTAACTTTTGAATACAAGGTTAAAAGCATTTCGCACTCGTAACCATATCTAATTCTTTTTTAAATTAGAAAAGAAATGTCTCTTTACCATTGGTCTGGTGTGCTGCTCCAACATGGTCAGCTGGACATAAGTCTGTAACGTTATCCCCCATCTGGAAGCATCTTGGTACATTAAACCCTGGGGTCAGGGATGGAAGGAAGACACAGACATTTGTCAGCTCAGAGCCAAACAGTGAAGGTGGTATTTTGTGAGCTCTTGCAGTACAACAGCATTGCTACAAGAAGGGCACTTACACAGCAAACACCAGGTTTGACAAGAATTAAGGGATCATTTGCTCTGCACAATGCAGGTGTAAGAATTATGGCTCTGGTCCTAAGTGGAATGCTCACTGAAGTCAGCAGGAATTAAGTACTCTGCACATGGGACAGTCAGAACCAAGGCACAGCTCATGTGAGACAGTTCAAATATGTTTAGTAATTAAAAAAACATATCTACTACTTTATTTTTGTGCACTGACAGACTCTCAGTACACCCAGTCCAGCCAGAAATCATATATGGTCCAGTAGGTATGGTCTGGGCCTCAGAAAAGGTGTCCTTGAACACACACAACTGTTCTTCCTACAGGATCCTCAAAGCAGGTCTCAGGTAGCTCCTCCACTCTGATTGCTGCAATTCCACACACACACACACACTCACTGGCAACACTCTATCCTGCAAAGCACAGAAAAGATCTTACTCAAAATAAGACATCATTCAATGTCTATTGGGTGAGGTGACAAGTTTTAAGGCAGCAGCACAGCTTGAGCCCACAGATCTGACCTCCTCCTTCTCTCCCTGCCCTTCTCTCTCTCCCATCACACTTTCTCAGTGTTCCAAAACACACAGACTGCTGTGCTGATGCCAAGCACGCCCCACCCCTCTACTAACAATAAGAAAGTAAGGTATCAGTAACTCCTAGGAGGGAGAATTTACTTTTCCAGAGGACCTATGGTAGCACTGATGGTATCACACACATTTGGCTTTGTGTGCTTTGAGGTGTGTCCACATCCCTGTGATGGCATCGAATTCCACCAGCCTGAGCACAGCTCTGTCCTCAGCCAGCAGTGAGGTTTCTGCAGGGCAGGGGATCCCCAAGCAGAACTGACATCAGGAACCAGTTCCAGCAGCCCAGTAAAGCCAGTGTGCAGTGCAGGCAGAGCCCTGGCTGCTGCCTCCAAGCACACCTCGGATCCAGGGACGTCCTCGTAGGGAACAGTTCCAAGGAGCCATGGCTACCCAAAAAACACAAACCCTCAACACCTCAACTGGGTTGAGTTTTCCTAATCTTCAGCAGTCACAGAATCATAGAATGTTAAGGAATTGGAACAGATCTTAAAGCTCATCTAGTCCCATCCCCCCTGCTGTGGGCAGGGACACCTTCCACCAGCCCAGGTTGCTCCAAGCCCCAGCCGACCTGGCCTTGGACACTTGCAGGGATGGGGCAGCCACAGCTTCTCTGGGCAACCTGGGCCAGGGCCTCCCCACCCTCACAGGGAACAATTTCTTCACAATATCCCATTTTACCCTACTCTCTGTCAGTGGGAAGCCATTCCCTGTGTCCTGTCACTGCAGTTCCTGATGAACAGTCACTCTCCACTTTCCCTGCAGGTCCCTTCAGGCCCTGGAAGGTGCCGTGAGGTCTCCACACAACCTTCTCCTCTCCAGGCTGAACAGCCCCAGCTCTCCCCTCCCATCTCCACAGGGGAGATGCTCCAGTCCCTTTATCAACTTTGTAGCCTCCTCTGGACTTGCTCCAACAGTTCCATGTCCTTCTTATCTTGGGACACCACAACCGTGCAGTGTTGCTGTCAAACAACATTAACTGACCAGATCCACCCCTCACTTTGAGTGATTCTTTGAAACAGGCATAAGTAGATTTAGAAACAACTGTCACACTCAGGGCTTACCTTTATGGGAATTTCTTTAGCTCATACCATGTAAGAAACCCCTTACCAAAACCACATTTTATAGGCAATGTTTCTATTATGTCCTAATCATAGTAAAAAACCTTTTCCTTCATGAAGCTTTATTTTTTGCTGTGTGAGATTCTGACCACAGCTTTCCCAACAGTTTTGCTGGTTGGTAAGAAGTTGTCACACGTGTGCTTCTAAAAGAACAGTCACTGTAATTGCAGAAATCATTTCTGTCACTTACCAGGATATTATGACCACGAACGTTCCTCCACTTCATCAAAGGTTCTTTCAAAACCTTGTTAAAAAGAACTCCATGTTAACTCCATGTTAAACACATTTTAGATGCAAAACACTTTATGTGACTCTACAAGTCTGCAACTATTTTTAAGGATTACTCATTCAGTAAGTCAGAGTATTCACGACTCGTATTGGAAAGCTCACCCCTCTTAAAAAAACAGCACTGAATCCTGAACACAAAAAGTAATAGCAAAAACTCTAAAAATAGAAAAATATCAACATATAACACCATCTTAGAATTTTTAAACTACCAAAGTGAAACACCTAATGAGCCTGGATAGAATTTCTTTTTTTTTGAGTCAAAATCAGTCCCACAGAAGGGAAAGTACTGCTTAGCAGAGTCCTGATTCCATTTAATGACCTGCCAATTGCCTCACAAATTCATGTCAGAGAAAGCAACACTTGGCAGAAAGAGGATCAGACTGCTATCATATTAGTTTTAATTCTATTTTTTTGTTTTAACAAACAAAATGTATTCAAAACCTTTACAAAATTAATCACAAAAGCTTCTACCCTGAATAGGTAAAATGACAAGACTTACCTGGTTCAAACAGGGTCTAAAACTCCAACCACAAAGCCAGGCCTAAGAGAGTTAACTAGCTACTTAAAAAATGTTGCACTATATGCAAAATAAAGTCTGCTATCTTTTGGGTTAACAGTTAATTACTCCATAAGGATCATTTCTGTTAAATTATCAAATAACATCTGGCAACCCAGCATTTCCATGGGGACTCCTAAAACTTACTATCAAATGTATTGCCAGTTCTGCTGGGAAAAGCAGTAATATCTGTTGTACACAAAAACAATTGTTCACTTTGTACACAACAACAACTGTTCACTTTGTACACAGCAACAATTGTTCACTGAGGTTTGATCTTGATTTTGTTTAGAAATACAATAAGCCTGCCCTTCCCTCAATCTTGTTCTAAGCAACATGAAATCAAATCTCAAATCAGTCTATGAAATCTTCAGGAACAGTTTTAACAGATTTTCCATTTTTCAAAAAAGCCATATATTCACTAGAATCTCAAGTGTGTGACATCAGTATTTTTACATCATTACATCTTCACTTTGCTTATTACAAGACACACCTAAGATTTCAGTGACAAGAAATGGCAAACAGGCATGTCCAAACATGCCCAGCCCCTGTGGGTTGCTGTTACTTTGCAGAGGTACAGACTGCAATCCACAGGTCTTACTGATCTTTTGGCACCTCGTACTTTATTACTTTCTTTTCTGCAATCTGAGTATAAAAATTTGGGAGATGGGGAGGTACCTCAGCAAGCCCCTGGCTCACAACCTGCTGCTCCATTCTGTGTGCCTGAGGAGAACATTTCCAAAGTGTCAGTTCTGTCAGGACAAGCAACTGCTGAATGTTGGAAATAAAGATAAAGAACTGTAGATCCAGTACCTCAATGCTGGTAGTTTGTGCAAAATAATCCAGGCACGTTGTTTTCCCACTTGCAATGTTCCCCTCGATGCATATCTGATGAAAAACAGAGTCATTGTGAGAACAGTGTGTGTGAAAATGTACCCTTCCCATGGCACCAGGCTGGTTCCTTACACTGTGATGAGATTATTTCCCAGGAAGGATTGCTTAAACCTTAAGAGGCACTACATTTTTATTTTCAGAAACTTGAACGACTAAAATAAACTAAGAGAATTTTTTTTCAGCTGTCTTAAAATAATTTATAGCTTCAAGTGATTAAGTTCCAAACAAAAAAAAAAAAACCATCACCTGCCAGGGAGGGATGCATAGGGCAATGGCAAGGCTGCACATGCAACACTGACCCCAAACTGTCACCTGTCCCAACACAATCCCTCACCGTTTTATCCCTCACAATTTTTGCACAAATCCCTCACAATTTTATTGGAATTTACAGAACCAGACAAGCGTAGCCTTGCACTGACTATGACCCAGTGCCAGACCCAGCACCACACAGTGACACAGGCACAGCCAACAGCTGCATATGCTCAAATTATAATAAAATTATAATGAAAGAGGCTGCACGTTTTACTTCATTTTCTGAACAAAATGCAAATACTTACAACTCTCTTTCTATCATCTTTCTTTATCAGAAGTTTATCTAGAATGGAAATAAACAACAGTTACAATCAAGGAGGTCTTCATAACTTAGTTATACTGAGCCTCTTAAGTGAGCCCCTCCATGAAGTTTTTAGGTTCTCTGTTGCTTAATATGCCTATTTGCTAAATTACCAACCTCAAAGGTTTTAGGTCATTATTGGGCCATGCACTAGACACGTTTTGGCACAGAATGACACAGTTCTAGCTGAAGTTCACCATTGCTAACACTACTGAGAGTGGAACGGTGAGTGCCCACATTCCCACCAGGTTTTTGTTGCTCCTGCTGCTCCTCGGCTGGCACTGGGGAAAAGTGAATTTCGGGAAGGTCAGTCAGGGAGCAGTCCCTGCTGGGTCACAGGCCCAGTTACAAGGCAGGGGAAGGGTGAAGGCTCCAAGACAAGCAGTTCAGGCGCCTTACACCTCAGAACTGCGCTGTAAAACCCGTGCAAGCCGTGCTGGGCTTACGGGACCCCTCACCCCACAGAGCACGGGAAGGCGGTGAGGGGGGGCAGAGGGGCCGGGCGGCTGCTCCCCACGGGCACCAGGGGCCCGAGTGCCAGGGTCTGACCCTGACCCTGCTACCCCAGAGTCTGACCCTGACCCGGCTGCCCCAAAGTCTGACCCTGATCCTGCTGCCCCAGAGGGTCTGACACTGATCCTGCTGCCCCAAAGTCTGACCCTGATCCTGCTGTCCCAGAGGGTCTGACCCTGACCCTGCTGCCCCAGAGGGTCTGACCCTGACCCTGCTGCTCCAGAGGGTCTGACACTGATCCTGCTGCCCCAAAGTCTGACCCTGATCCTGCTGTCCCAGAGGGTCTGACACTGATCCTGCTGCCCCAAAGGGTCTGACACTGATCCTGCTGCCCCAGAGGGTCTGACACTGATCCTGCTCCCCCAAAGCCGCTCCAGAGGTTCTAATCCGGCTCCTGTTCCCTCAGAAGGCCAAACCTCGCTCCTGCTCCCTCAGAGCCGCTCCAGCGCATCCCGGGCAGCCGCCCGTCCCTTTCCCGAGGGGTACCGGCCCTGCCCGGACAGCCCCGCACCCCCGCCCCGCACTCACGGCCGGCAGTGCCGCGGGGCCCGGGCGGGGCGCGGGGCCCGATCCCGCCCGCCGAGGGCCCGGGGGCAGCGCCGCCCGCACTCCGGTAGCCCCGCGCCCAGGCCGCGCCCCGCCGCCACATGGCCCATCCCCGCCGGCCGGCCCGGCCTTCCGCCGCCCGGAGAGCACTTCCTCCGCCCGCGCTCTGAGGCGGGGCCGGGGACGGCCTGGCACCTCCCCCGGCACCTCCCGGCACCTCCCCCGGCACCTCCCCGGGCACCGCCCCGGTCCCCAGCGGCGTCCCGCGGGTGCGGTGCCGGTGCCGGTGTCGCCCCGCGCAGCCCGGGCCGTGCCGCCGCCATGGCGCGTCTGGAGCTGGACCGAGCCTTCGCCCGCTCCCCGCGGGGCGCGCTGAAGATCGCCCGTGTGGTACGGCCGGGAGGGGCCGGGGTCCCGGGGGGTGCCCTCGGAACGGGGAGGGGCCGGGGTCCCGGGGGGTGCCCTCGGAACGGGGAGGGGCCGGGATCCCGGGGGGTGCCCTCGGAACGGCCGGGAGGGGCCGGGGTCGCCGAGGGGCCGCGGGGTCCCGGCCCGGCGCAGCGCTGACCGCCGTCCCCTCCCGTCCCGCAGCTCCTGGCGCTGGCCACCTTCCTCTGCTTCGTGGCCTCGAATGCCCACGAGGCCTACGCAGCGCTGGCCGGGCTGGAGATGGGCATCACCCTCCTGTTCCTCCTGCTCTACCTGCTCAAGCTCGACGCAAAGATGCGGTGGCTGTTCTGGCCGCTGGCTGTGAGTACCGAGGGGCCCCGGCTGAGGGGACCTGTGTGCCCCAGCTGTGAGATGTGCCCTGGCCGTGAGTGCCGGTGAGCAGGCTGTGAGTACCCATGTGCTGTGAGTACCCATGTGCTGTGAGTACTGCCGTGCCCTGGCTGTGGGTGCTGCTGTGCCCTGGCTGTGGGTGCTGATGTGCAGGATGTGAGCACTGATGTGCTGTGGGTGCTGGTGCCCTGGCTGTGAGCACTGGCTGGCCTGGATCTGAAGGGGTCACCTGTCAGAAGGGTCACTGTCAGTCAGCTCAGTGACTGTTTCTACCCAGTTAAAGCAAGGCCAGTGTTCCATGGATGCTGAAGCAGGTTTTCCTCCCCGAGTGTTCTGCTCCCTCAGTTCCTGGATAGCTGGATAGATCTGGTGACAGCCCCTCCCTAACGGGCATTGGTCACTTCCCTGTGTAACCCTGTGCTCTGCATCCTGCACATCACAAATTAGACATACGCTTTCACTCAAATATTAACGAGTTCTCTTACCTCTCTTTTGCACATCTATTTCCTGCAGTCTGACAAGTGTAGCCAAGTTGCATAAATTTGACTGCAAAGAAAAAAAAAAAGAAAAAGGGAAAATGAGGAAGTTTTATCTCAAACGCTCCTTTTACCACCAAACCACTGGGTGTCAGTGTCGATCTCGCTCGGATATTGCTGTAACTTGTTTCCATAGCAAACCAGCCGTTTTTAAAGACCCTTACGGTGTTGGGAGCTATACACGTTCTTCTCCAGGTGTGTTCAGAATAAATATTTTGCTTCCACTGGCTGTTTCAGGATATTTTCAACTCGGTGATTGCAGCGTTGTTCCTCCTCGTTGTGTGCTTGTTTGCAGTAATAGTCAAGAGCAACAAGGGGACATTGGCTGGAGGAGTAAGTAGGAACATTGTTAATGAATTTCAGTTCTTAAAGTGCACGTGATTTGAACCTCTTGGTACAGTTACATCATGGCAGGACCATGAAAACAACTGTCGTGGAAGAACACATTCAGCAATCACAAACAAAAGTGAATACACATTCAGTGTATCTTACTAAGAATAATCCTAAAATCACTAGTAATTTAAAAATATTACAAGACTTAGGAGTTACTACAGAGAAGTTCCAACACTGAAAACTCCTAGAGTTTAACTAATTTGGGTAACTTGGATTTACTTCCACAGGTTGAAGTCCTAGGTGGGAGAATCCATAGCTCTTTTAGGACTATCCAGTTTGGTTACACTGTTTAGGAGGAAATGCCTAACTAGTTGAAAGAGTTGAAACTTTTTAGCAGACATGCTGGTACCTCCCTCCTGACATGTACATTATGCTTGCTGACACAGACTGAGGAATTACGCCAGTTGAAAAGGGGTTTTGTTCATACTGTGATTGTAAGACTTTTGTGTTCTTAAGATCAAACCAGTTTAATAGTTTAAGCAACTGGTATTTTTAATTCAAATGGAAACTAATGTAATTAACAAACAAGAAGGAGGGAAAGTCTTTTTTAAAGTCTCCAGAAGTACAAGAGGAGCTGAAATGTGAAAAGCAACCAAAAGAAACCTAAAACCTGCCACAGGGGTTTTTCAAAGTCTGATTAGGAGATGGTAAGATGGGAAGCTGATGTCTTCACTGGCAACAACATCCTAAGCAAAAAGGAGACTTCCTGGTCAAGTGACTGGCTGTGCTAGAATAGAATTTATATTCTTGGTTGGGAAGTTAATAGAAATTAAAGGTGGGAGCAGCAGACTAAGCAGGTAGCTGGGAAAACAAGTTTGGGCAGAACATATGACATCTTCAATTCTGGGAGGAACAGAATTGCCCACAGTCTGTACTCCTGGGGCACAAACTGCCTTGAGCTGGGCTCTCCTTAGCATTATTCCCTCTGATCAGATAATTTAGTGCTTGCATAAAAAACCCTGGTGTGCATGTGGGATGAGGCTGAAGGGTGGGAGCTGAGCAAATTAACTCAGCAAGGCCATTCTGCAAACACATTTTTCCAGTTGCCTGCCTGAGGTTGTCTATTTTTTTAAATACTTCTGTACATTTTCTCCAATTTGGGATATGTTTCCCATTCAAAGCTTCAGAGGAGAGCAGTACTTTTTTTTCCTGCTAGGCTTGTTTCATAAATTTTGACTTTTCTCCCTGACTTCTCTCTGGGCCAGTTCCAGTAATTAAGCCATCCTTACAGGGACAGGAGGCCTTTCATTTAGGATAAAAGCATTGTCTGGCATAATGCAGCATTAGCTTAGCTTTCAAGGAGAGCACCACACCAACTCCAAGGCTTCACACAAACATCAAACACAGCAGGGTGTAGACGGCTCTGTGAGAGGCTGATGGGATGTAAATATGGGTGTTATTTAATTTATCAACTCTCTCAAATCACACACGTGTTTCAAAGGCAGAACCAAGTTAGGAAGATGTGTTTACTGCTGCTTTGAGGAACAGTAGCTGAGTCTGTACAGCAAAAGATAGAGACTGTTGGGGGAACTAACATTACGGTTATTTTTGTAGGTGTTGGGTCTTATATTGCTTGTTCTCTGCGTTGTCGACACGGTTCTTCTTTGCAAGAAGATTAGCCTTGCTAGACCAAGAGGAAGGAATGCTCCTACCAGATAAGATTGCCATGTTAGTAAAAGGATTTCTCCATTGATGATTGTTTCACCACTCTCTTTTAAAGAATTTGTGTTTTCACATGTTCACCTTAGAATTTCCTGTGCATTGATGTATGTTTTTGCAAGTATTGTTTATACGGTTTTCAGACATTTCCAAATGTAGTTTCAGTGGTGCAGTTAAAGCTTCACAGAAAATGGTCTTGTTTTTCTGAACTTAATTACATTTTTACCCGTATGAAAATGAACTTCATGGTTGTCTTCTTTCTGTAATAAAAAGAAAATATAAACGGGCTTAAGTGCATTATTTAATATTATTTATTTAATATTATTTATTTACTAAGTGTACTTAAAGGTGTCATGTACCTTTAGAATGGAACATCCTTAGAATGGAATTTTTTCCACCCTTGTGTTGCTTCATTCCCTAGCTCATTCTCGTGGCCGCTGGCTGGCTGCTGCCATGGGAATTCTTGTTAGAGCGTTGGCCGAGGCATTTCGATCCTTCGAATTCGAGGCTTTACAGTGGGGTTGGACTCGATGGCTTCCAGCAGCCCCTTCCAAGCCGAACCGCTCCGTGATTCTGTGATTTATCTGTTCAGAATAGCACGGCAAAGAACCTCACAGCCTCCCTGGCAGGACAGCGCTGCAGCGGAGAGAGCAGACTGAATCAAATCGGTACGATCAGTGTCTCGGGACCGGCCGGGCGGTGCCTGCGGGGCCGGGGGCGGGCGCCGGGGCCGCCCCCCACATCTGGGGATGCTGAAACTTTTTTCACGTTTCCGCAGTGTCACGATTTCCGCTTCCCTCCTTCAGAAAAAAAAAAAAGGGGAAAAAAAAGTCCCGGCCAAGCCCCCACCTCGAGCCCAGCCCAGCTGAGCCCCAGCCCAGCCCAGCCCAGCCATGGAGGAGCCCGAGCCCGCGGGGGCCGCGCAGCCCGGGCTGCGCTCGCTGCTGCCGCCGCGGGAGTTCCTGGGCTCCCGCAAAGGGCAGCTGCTCCTCGCAGAGTCGGTAAGGCCGGGGGCGAGGGGGATCGCGGGGAGAGACCCCTGAAAGCACCGGGTCCCGCCGACGGGGCGGTGCGGACGGAGCGGGGGGGATGGACCGACCGTCCGCGGGGTCGAGCTGGAGCGGGGGGAAACAACCGGGGGGAAAGGGGGGGACACGAACCGAGGGGGAAACAACCGGGGGGAAGACAACCGAGGGGAGAACAACCGAGGGGGAAGCGTGGGGAAAACAACCCGGGGGGAAAGGGGGGACAAGAACCTCGAGGGAAACGAGCGCACTACCTTACCGGGGTGGGGGAACTGCAGGGCTGAAAGCGTAATTGATTGAGTTAAAGAAACCAAAAGTCTTGTCACGTTAAGCTTCCAGTGCTTCAAGTCGGTTCCTTTATCAGGAACCCGTTTTCGGTGACAAAGGGCTTTGATTTCGTTTTAGCCTGTTTGCAGCGTGACTCCAGTGACCGCTGCAGCCCCATTTGTGTTATCTCCTGGTGCCAGGGGACACACGGGTTACCAGAGAGCCTGTTCGGAGTGTGTCAGGAAAGGCCCTACCCATTAATGTGTGACATGTGCCATTAGGTAGGGAGGGCATCAGGATACTCAACGTTTGTGCCGAGCCCTCCAGAGCTGTGTTTGTCCCTGATCACAGAGGGATGCGCTTGCTCACTGCTGTGGAGCTGATGGCTGGAAAGTGCCCAGCGGGAAAGACCCTGAGGGTGCTGGTGACAGGGCTGGACATGA